GACCCAGAGTCCAGCACACTGACTACTGGACTACTCTCGTCTCACGTTTAGTTTCTAGGGCATTTGCAACGCAGATTGATCACTGGAAATTGTATCTTTGGCTTTAAGGATTTTTTCATTTTGCCATACATAACCTATAGTGTAAGACAAATGAGAACACTTTTCTTATATGTTAATAAGCAATTACTGATCAGAATGAGGTTGAGCATGTTATTATACAAAAACCAAATTCATTAGTTGTTTTATTCTACATTTTTTAAACAATCTGCAAAAGGAAAAAAACACCTCTCTCTGAGTTTGAAAAAGTTTGAGAACACTACACGAACAAGGGGCTTGGAAATTAACCAGAATTTGAACATGGCATCATGGTGATAAGTGCAATCCACTGTAGGTATTGCATTTATCATGTCAACTTTACATGCTATTATGTAAAGATTGAATGCTATCAGTCAATCATATTTTTCATGGTAAGTCTAATTAACAATTATTCACCTCAGGCTCAGTGAATATTTCTGAATAGTCCCTGAGACAAAGTCAGGGGATTATCCAACAATCTTCAGTGAGCCTGAGGCAAGTAATTGTTTTAGTATAATTGCCCACAATAGTGTTTTTTTCTTTTGCTGATTGTTTAAAAAATGTAGAATAAAACAACTTATGAATTGGGTTTTTGTATTATATCATGCTCAACCTCTTTCTGATCAGTAATTTCTTATTAACATATAAGAAAAGTTTGTTTTGATGTTAAAACCATTCTGTTTTAATTGTTCTGACCACTTGTATTGAGATAAAGAGCCAGTTTCCACTAAAATTTGATAGGTTCACTTGATCAATCAGCAAAAACTTTATAAGTTTGTTAGAGTATAATTTTCTGGTGATTATCGAGATGTGCATGCTCTGATTGGTTGAGGATTGGGTCATATCTCCCTATAATTACCTCACAAAGGTGATTACAGTAGGGGTGTTAATTTTCAAAATGGCTGATGTTGGCAGCATCAAATGTTAGCAAGGACATGATAAAGGCCATTGAAGAAAATTTAATTCCAGCTGGTACAAAAGATGCCATTGAGTTTGGCATAACACTTTTCAAAAGAGAGATATGAAGTTTTTGCAGACTGAATTAAATAAACCTGTTAAATTCTAGTGGAAACTGGTTGTATATTTTGATACCATTTAACAAAACAATTATACCAGAATGGTTTCAACACCAAAACAAACTTACAACAGAATTTGGAATCAGCAGAACAGCTTTGTCTTTGGGATTACTCAACAATATACACTTTGCCTTCCGCAAATAATTGTTCAATAATATTAACTGAGGGAACCATTGTTCTGTCTAGATCAGCTGTTGGAGCAGGTATCTACTCAAATGCAACTCAACACTTTCGAGTGGGACTGCAAGTCTACTTCATTGCAGGTATCTGCAGTATTAATAATCAATAATATTCCTACAGTTGCATAAATCTTAACTTATTGCTTTTGATCCCAATAAGGTAAACTGGGCATAGTTAAAAACAGTGCAAGGCTCAATGGTCTGATCATTTAAACATTTTTAGCTGTTGTCTAACAAAACAGCATCCTAGACAATCCTTGTTTTAGCTGAACTTTTTATCTGAACATTTATATTTCTGAACAGCATCAAGAGGTTAAAAGCTAAGAGTAGGAGGACATTCATTTAATCAAATCAACCCTCTTATTGAGAAAGCTGGAGGCCCACTGATGATATAAAACTGTGGGTTAAGGTAGCCTGCAGAGCAGGTGGAATTTTGGCAAGAGATTGCTCAGTATTTTCTTAGGGGAAAATTATGGTGGCAATCTTTTAATTTAATGGCAGTAGAATACTGAGGAGAGAAATTTGTTTCTAGGGGGCAGTTGATGGTCAAAAATAAGGAGTAGGGTGGGGGTGGGGGAGTGAAGATTTTTGCCTTTGGCTGCCTGCCTCCCCCACCGCTTCTATCTCCAAATCAAACATGGCTAGTTGAATAAATGATCACAAGCTTCTTAACATTAACTCACCCTTGTAAGACTGTCGCCTGCACTGTAGGCTTGAGATAGGGTAGACCTTGTGTAAATAACCAGCCAAATATGTTTATCACAATTACAATGACTATGAACCAATGCAAATGTATTTGTGTTTTTAGATGGAGTGTTAAAGTCATTTGAGGTAAGATCAAAAAAAGAAGAGGTAGCTCTTTGCAGATAAGTCATATCTGTTGCATAAAGTTATTGTCAAGAGGTATTCAAATTTGTGATGTATGATCATTCAGCTTTTAAACTTGAAGTTTACGTTAATGTTATGCTAAATGTATTCTTCTGCAAGTTTTACGAATTGTTTTGAAACTTTGTCCACCAGTAAGTACATCATCACTTGTCTGCTTGATATTGTGATGAGAAATTTTGTCTTGGTCACTCACCGGAGTTGAAGGGTTAACATTTAGTAATGTGGTGTTAAGTCTTTTGTCAATTCATAATTATGATTTTTAGTAAATATTTATTTACGAAAAATGTAACTGTGAAAAATTTAAAAAATGTGGTTAAGGGTGATCCTCAAAATAATTATATGTTGGTTTAACCCTTTAACTCCCACAAGTGATTAACATGTAACTTCTCCCCAAAATATCCATATATTATGCAGCAAATAGGTAATGAGAATACTCAAACTCATCAGGTAGAAATTGTTATCTTGGTAAAACACCAAATTCTTGTGACTAGTTTACAAGGTAATGTGCAGCAGCTAGAGGGGAGAATCGACAATCAGATCATGGGAGTTTAAGGGTTGAATGACTTCTGTTAACAATGTGAGCAGATGGTATCATGAGGACTTTTGCAGACAAGGTCTGAATATCAATTCTTCATGCTATCTGCTATACATTTCTTACACTTACAACATTGAGAATTTGGTAGTAAATCAAGTGATATCCTGTTGTTAATATTTTCCACTTCTTTGCGTCACCTTTTTGTTTGAAAATGTATTAAGGATGTAAGGAGATATTCCTTGTTGGTCATTCCCAGAAATAAAAGGTCAATAGCTTTTCCATTTTGAAAGTATCATTTAAGTCAAGTCTTAAGTTGGTATTCAGTTGAAAGATTTAATGAATTTATGACTGGTTATTTAATTTCTGAGTTGAACTAGGTTATTTTGATTTTTTTTTCTAGGTTTTTTGTTTGTTATGTGCACTGAATCATCAATGGCAGTTTAGATCATCAGGTAGCTATTGATTATTGATATGTAATGACACTTTCTTCATTTCTTGCACACCAAATGCCATTTTTCTGCCAGGCAAAGAAAGTGTCAGCACTTTATTGACAATTCAAGCCAACACTTACAAACAGATCATAATTTATTGTAAATTTGCAAGCTATTACTGAAAAAATAAACCTTTGGCAAGCTTGCCATAGCTTGATATCAGAGGAACAACATGCCAATTGGTGACAAAATAGAGAAGGGGGATGGGTGGGTGGGTGGGCAAGTACATTTAAGCTGTTGTTTTGTTTCATATGGCAAGAAATAAGCAAATGAGTCACATGGTCGGGTGGCATCTAATATCCTAACTTGAACCCAGCCCTTAACTTAGTATGAGAGAACCTTCCTCTTTCCTCAGCTAGCATGAACACTTTTTCCATTTGATTCCTGTAACAATCCTGTGACTGGTGTACCAAGAGTAAGTGTTATTGATACAGTCAATCTGGTTTGATTTGTTTCTTCCCAAACCAGGATTTCTTATGCAGGAAATAAGGAGTTTGAATTCGGGAGGGCACAGTACAAGTAGCTCTGAAACTGGATCACGGACTGGAATTACAACTACAATGGTATTTTTGAAGTTTAATTTCCATATGCAGATTTAAGAAGTTTTATGTTTGCTGCAATTGATAGACTCACTATACATTCAATTAATTGAGAAATCTCTCTGCTGTGTGCTGCACCATTTACGCATGGTTTCTTTTAAAAAGGTGGAATGTCTATGCATATTTTCTCATAGCAATATAATCTGATTGGTTGAATAAATCTCTTCTTATTGGTAGAATTAATTTTTCTGAGGTTGATGTAAAAATGTAGTTTTATATCCCTTAAATGTCAAAACCATGAAGTGTG